AGCTGGATTATCCCTATCTTGCTCGCACGGCAACGGTGGCACGCGGGGTGGTTATATCAACGGCATGTGTGGAGAGTCTGTTCTCCGAGATCCGGGATATCATAGGTGATAAGCGCACCAGAATGAGAATGGAGGTTGTTGAAGCACTTCTCAAAACTCGTCACACATACAGATTGTGGGACAATGACAAGTAGATGTGAGAAACTCACAATGTGAGTCTCACATGCTTCGGTGATAATTATTATGCAATTCTGAGGCTGATTCCACAACTACAAGCTTTCAGTGTTTGATTTCGCTGTCGAGGTGCATCAGGCGACCCTACTTCTAGCCTTACTTGAAACCTAATGTCTATGGGGTTGATGAACATAAATGTCGAATATGAGTTGATTAAATCGATGGTATGTAAATCATACTAAGCGGTGTCATCAAATGTCATACTCTTCTATTTGATAGAATCTATTGTGTCTTTGACCTTTCGATTAAATCATTCATTTTGCATATGCAATTAACTCATCGACTACATGCTATCTACACTCTTTATAGGGCGCTGAGTTCAAGAGTGGCAAGACAGTAAGGGTACCAGTGCATGACAGGCACTGCCTGTGGCTATCAACTGAGCGGTCTAGCCTCGACCCTTATTTTTTTTTCGCGCGCTACGCGCGCGTGGATGTGCTCTGCGGCAGCCGTCCTAAATTGTTGTCGAACTAAGCCTCAATGCCGACGTAAAAGAACATTTCAATGGATTTTGAGTTTCGAGGCGGATCGATTTCTCGAATCGAATCGATTCGTGCGCCCGCCGTAGCATCCTCGATTGATTAGCACCGAACAATCGATCGATTTTCGATATCTCGATCCAATCGAGCCTCGGTCCGATGTATGCTTCCTCTATACAGTTCTACCTTGATGATGGACTCGTGCTTCACCCAAGCATTGGGTGGCGCTTGTACTTCGACCTCTTCATAGCCCTTATGGCTGGATGTAAACACATCGGTATTTTTAGCGGGCTCGAATGACCGGTTGCTCATGAACCTACAACAGCACAAAGAAAAGTGCCGCCTCCAGGAAACGAACTCGAGACCTACCTTGGGCATTCGGGCATTATTACTGTGGGCATTATTACTATACTCAACTGAGGGATATATGCTTTTCTATTTAGGAACCGAATGGAACCACGTCGCAAAAGTAAGAGACCACAGTGTTCCGTTTGTTCAAGGTTTTTGACGAAGGGTGGTCGATGCAATTCCTGTATTGCTTGCAATGTAAGCGCTTTGCCGAACTTGCATAACGCGAAATCTCAAGTGTATGATACAATTCACATCTTCAGCTTCATAACGAGATCCACAAGAAGGAACAGGAAGATGCTCAAGCGGCAGTTGCTCATCAGGTAAGT